ATTTTAACCAATTAGAAAGAGTGTTAAAAAGAGTGTCATTGAGTGCATTCCTAGTATTTTTCATGTAGCCAACCTCACCAATAGTTGTAGTTTTACACTATTTCTGAATTAGTTCTTTACCTTATATTAATTGCATATTAATAAGTTATTTCAGGTTTCTTTCCACATCCCTTTGTAATTCTGTTTCTCTTGTAGCAATAAAATAAATAACTAATTGGTTACACAGTACGCACTACGTAATGTCCATTACAATACTGCATGACTATGATGTTATTAGTAGACTATATATTTGTTCTAGTCAGATATAACTTTAGGATTATGCATCTGCATTGTGGTTCTCATCAGATATCCAAGCGTTTAGAGGAATTGAAACAAGAGTATGAGAAGAAGAATGGAAAGATAAGACGATCAGGAGAACTTGCTGAAAAGCAAATACTTCCTAGCAACTGAAGCAGGAGCATATGCAGACAGCATTTGTAAGACCTGTAGAACCGTTGTTCAAGTTGAGAGGAAGACCTCCCAATGAAGGGCTCTGTTGTTGTGAAAATCATACCGGGTCATGTTCTATGCTGTGGCCATATGTTGCATACTATGTACAGTTGTTTTAGTTGCTCACTCTTAGCAACTTCGGTGTTAAGACTTAAGAGGCTTCAATGAAGATGAAAATCTATTGCATATCTAGCCACTGATATGGGCTTCCTTATTTTATTTTCATCTCTATCAATATGTTGTTTAAGAATTTGTGGTTATTGTTGTTATTATAAAAGGAGAAAATACTCTGTTGTAAAAAAATTGTCTTTTTTCAGTGAAATTGTGAAAAAAATTTAGTTTTCAGCTGTTTGTTGAGTTGAGAAATGTGCACACCAAAAAAGGAGACAAATAGAGAGTGTTGAATTACTATTTATTATTAACTAAATTATGTTATATTTTCTTAAGCTTTGTTAAGGCGGTATCAAATTACCAAAATTTATGCGTACTAGTTAAAATTTGAAATTTGGGATTGAATTCAGTTTCTTGTATTTTATAAATTTTTTTATATGAACTTATATTAAGGATGAAATAAATGATTTGTAATCTCACTATAAGTTTTTCAAAAGGTTAATGGTTGATTTTGATTCTTAAGTTGTGATTTATTTTAATATAATTTTTTTAAAAACAAAATCCAAACTTTAGGTGAAATTACTTACCGATAGAATTCCATTGGCAAAAATCTTTCTACCTTGATGCGTTGATCTTCCCGATTTTGACAATATATACTGGCTATCTAATGATTTAAAGCCACTAAGTGATTTAAGAAGAAAAAAGTTCACTTAATTGTTAAGGTATGTTTGGTTTGCCGTTTAGGCACCCAAATGGAAGTTTAGTTTGCATTGAATGTTGTACCCGTTTGTTTGGTAATTTTTTTTTACGTTATATTAAACTTTATTATTTTCAAAACGTACGTTACATCTAAAGCAACACTTATGTTACTTTTCCGTTGGGCGAGAAGTTTCCGTTTCTTAATTCTCTTTTCACCTGTAGCATATAATTTTTTTCAACTACTGGCAACGGGGTTACCATTACTCTCACCCACCAACTTGAAGAAGTAATAAATCCCATAGTTTTAAAAACCGGACCGGTCATCGAACCGGTTAAGGTACTGGGTCAGTGGGTCAAAGGTTGAACCGGTGGGTCACTAGTTGAACCGCATGACTCGATTTTTATTTATTTTTATTAAAAAGTTTTCATATTAAATATATTTTATACTTATAAATTTTAATAAATTCATATCTTATTTTAAATTTCAATTTTTCTATCTTATTTAAAATTATTTTTATTTTTATTTTGTAAAAAAATACATAAAAAAATTACATGTTAAACGGTATATTAATACAAATTAAAAATATAAATAATATGTACATATATAATATGCTTGCAATTAATATCACAAAATAATATATGTAATATTTACATAGATATTGCATTATTAAATATATAATTTAAAATTAATAATATACTATAAAAGTTATTTAAGTTGTATATATTGCAAACAAATATATTAGAACAAGTAGTCATTGTTATATTTAATAAGACTCCTTGCTTTTTCATTAAGAGATTCAATTTTCATTATTATTTTTGTGATTTATGGTCCCTTAAAAAATTAAAAAAAAAAAAAGTGGTTGAACCGGTTTGACCCACTGGTTCACCGGTTGAACCGGAAAATTGACCGGTTCAATCCGGTTTGAAACGGGTCGACTGCATAACCGATCCAACTTCAGATTCGGACCGGCTGGACCACCGGTTCCCAATCCAACCAGTCCGACCGGCCGGGTCAGTCCGGGTTTTAAAACACTGATAAATCCAGTATATATTACTTGGATTCGAAACATTTTTTGTTTGGGCATATAGAATTTCTCCTCCTCCTCCTCCTCTGCTTGTTCCAGATCCATCTACATGTGAGCTCTCTGATTTTGAATTTCTTATTTTTTTTTTATTTTTTTGGATTCATCTACATGTTGGCTCTCTGATTTTGGATTTCTATCTTAGTAAGATTTTGTTATTTCCCCCTCTTGTGCAGAAAAGATTTCTTAACTTTTTAAATTCATTATTGTTATTATCTCTTTTGAATCGTTGGTTTTTTTTTTCAGATTCATCTATTGTTGATTTTATCTTCATGTTAAGGCAAAAGCTGCATGGGATGTGAAAGCCACCGAGATGTTTGTTAAATTATGCTTGGATCAAGTTTATAAAAGAGAACGAAATGGTACTAACATTACAAAAAAAGGGTGGAAAGTTGTTGAATGTGAATTCAACATGAAAAGTGGAAGAAAATATGGCAAGAGTCAATTTAGAAACAAATGGGATAATCTTAAGAAGGAATGATCAATATGGTACAAGTTGTTTGGAAAAGAGACAGGTTTAGGATGGGATAATGTAAGGAATACAGTAGATGCTTCAGACGAGTGGTGGGATAAAAAGCAAATGGTATGAAGTCTTTTAATGTGAAGTTAGACGTTTTTAAATTCCTTTATGTTATACAATATGTTGATTAGTTGTAACATGCAGGAAAATCCACTTTATGGAAAATTCAGATATAAAGGACTTGCTTTTGCCAATGATTTAACTACATTATTCAAGGATGTGGTGGCTAATGGAAAATTCAGTTGGGCACCCTCTTTTGGGATATTACCTAATGATATAGGTGAAAATGATGTATATCGTCCATGCTTTGAGAGTGGTGATATAGACTTAGAGGAAGGATCAGGAGATAGTGAAGAAATTATACCCACTAGTGCTGGAATGAGTTCTGAATTGCGAAATATTAATTTAAGCACTTCTGAAGGAAACAATAGTGAAAGAAGCATTAACAAGAGGAAAAGGGTTGGAGCTTCTGAAAAAAATGAAAGTAAAAAGGTGAAAGCTCCTGCCTAAAAAAAAATAGCTAAAGCAATAAGTAGAATTGCATATGCATCTAAGTCACGTTCAAATGCCCTAAACATGTTGGTCCCTACGGTTAGAATCTAGAAGGGGGGG